ACGGCCTGGGAAAGGAGTGGAAGACAGTCTGAGTGTTTATACCTCCGGCATCTAAGCAGGAGACCCAGAAGAATCACCTGGTTCCTGGCCTTGGTTCCAATCTTGGCTAATAAAGCAAACGGGGGAGTGAACCAATGGATGGGAGATTCAAAGCTGCCTTTCAAATCAAGTAACCAAGTATTTGAAAGAAGCCTACTCAGAACAAAAAATACAAATTTTTTAAAACATTCATTTAAAAGAATTGCAGAAAGATGCCACGTACAAATTTACCTACAAAATCAAGTACATTCTACAATAAAAACTAAAAAATAATATTTTGCTTTAATGGGATCTTTAAGTACTTAGAGGACAACATCTAACAAAATAACCCAAGCTTTCTTCAGAGGGTATTTGGAGCATTCTACTATAGCAGGTAAACCTGGCATCCCATGTCCCACCAACTCATGACACTGCTGTTCCATTTCTGATCTGGCTCCCTAATGGCCTGGACGAAACAGTGAAAGATGACACATGCATGTGGACCTCTAGATAAAGCTCCCACCTCCTGGTTCCTGGCTTTCGTTTGGTCTGGTGATGTCCTCTGTAGCCATCTGGGGAATGCACCAGTAGAAGGAAAATCTTTCTCTGGCCCTCTCTCTTTTGCTCTGAAACTCTCAAACTTTCAATATATTCCTGGGCTCTACCCAATGGCTCAATTGGTTAATTTTCCCCCTTGCAAATGCCAGGATCCCATTTGGGCACTGGATTGTGTCCCAGCAGCTACACTTCCCATCCCATGCCCTGTTTGTGGCCTAGGAATACAATAGAGCATGGCCCAAAGCAGTGGGACCCTGCATCTTGAGCTCCTGGCTCCAAGCTTTCGATCAGTTCGGTCCAGCCACTGCAACCATTTGTAGAGTGAACTAGTGGATACAACATCTCTCTGCTTCTTCTTTCTGTTAATCTGCCTTTTCAATAAAAATAAGCAATTCTTTAAAAATATTCTTGGGGCTGGCACAGTAGCCAAGCAGCTAAAATCCTTATCTTGCACATACAGGGATCCCAAATGGGCATCAGTTCTAATCCTGATGGCCCTGCTTCACCTAGGAAAGGCAGAAAAGGATAGCCCAAAGCCTTGGGACCCTGCACCCGTGTGGGAGACCCACAAGAGGCTCCTAGCTCCTGGCTTCAGATCAGCTCAGCTCCAGCCACTGTGGTCACTTGGGGAGTCAATCAGTGGACAGAAGATCTTCCTCTCTGTCTCTCCTCCTCTTTGTATATCTGACTTTCCAATAAAAATAAATAAATCTTTAAAAAATACATACATATACTCCTTTAGGTAAAATAAACTTCATTTAAAAATCACTAAAGAATTTAACAAATGAAAAAGTATACCATGTTCAGACTTGTAGAACCACTATTAAAGAGAATTTCTGTTTACCTTTCCCAACGTAATCTATAGATTTGATGCATCATATCAATATTCTTTATTTTTTATGGAATTTAAAAAGCAGATTCTAAAAGTTACAAAACTGCAAAGAACCAAAAATAACACAAAGAGGAACCAGTTGGGAATATTTGCTCTCAGATAAAGCTACTGTAATTGAGATAGCATGATATCAGTTTTATAATGAACCAAATAGATCAATGGATGCCAACAGAAAACTTAAATAATAGAAGCAATACTGCCATGAGATAAGCCCAAGTGGGGAAAAAAGGTTAATACATACAGTCACTTCTGGTTTTATTAACAAAAAAAAAAGTTATACATCCCATCACTGCACCACAGCAATTAAGCTACCACCTGTGATGCTGGCATCCCATATTGGCACCAGTTTGAAACTCAGCTGCTGGACTTCTGATCCGGCTACCTGGGAAAGCAACAGGCAACAGCCAAAGTACTTGGGCCCTGCACTCACACATGAGGCCTGAAAGAAGTTCCTGGTTCCTGTCTGTTTCGGGAACCAGTAGATAGAAGATCTGTCTGACTCCCTTCTCTGTAATCCTGACTTTCAAAAAAAATTGTTAAAAAAACTATAAGGCTTAGAATGTACATACACACAAGTATCTGCATAAAATATCCACATAATTACATAAGAAACTAACGCCAAGTGCCTGCAGAGTGTGCTGAATGAAGGATTATGGTTCAGGGAGTACTGGAGGCGGTTTATGATACTGCTTTTCAACTTATACACCCACCCCATAGATTAAAAATGGAACATTTCATTGTGATGATATAAAGGTTATCAGCTTTGACAGTGCACCAATACAGCTTACAAACCAAGCTACAAGAGAGCTAAACGGAGGAAAGGAATAAAGAGGCGTACAAATAGTCATCCTACACATAGTTAAACGGATTGAACACTGAGAACAAAAAATAAACATCTTATTGTTATATAATCTATAAAGGTAATAAAGGAGCTAAAAATAATGATACATCTCCTCAAAATTGGAAGAGGAGAGAATTTCTGGAGTTGTTTGGCTTAGCCAAATCTTCATTTCTCGCAGCTGGAACACCTACGCTTGATTTGTCAAATGTACACAACAAAAAACACTTTACAAATCAAAGACTAAGTATTTAGAAATACTCCTAAAAGTAGCCATGTGAAAAGCTAATAAAAACAATGAAAGAGCAGGAGCTGTATTTCATTAAAGCATTTAGATAACTCATCTTTAAGTGTGAATATACTCAGTGCTTTGATTCTAAAAGGAAGAGTGATGACCTACTTAGAAAATAGACATAAGAACATTCGCTTTACCAGGTACAAAACTATTCAATATGGAATACAGAAGCCACAGGGACTAAGAGGACCAACATTCAGATTTGCTAATGTACAACAGAGGAGAGATTCAATTATTGAGATCACCACAGGATGAAAACGAATACATCCACCTCACAGTAAACTGCCAGCGGGCTCACGGGTGCACACATCAGGCTAGCATTTGCTGGGACAGGTAAACAAACAGTAATAAAAACAAAAGTGGTAGTTAAAAATAAACAGAGAAAGTAAGCTCCAAACACTTGTGAACAGAAAGTTTACGAGCAGTTAGTTACCTTAGGCAGGCAACTAACCAAGGCTTTTTTATTTCTTAAGACTTATTTTTATTGGAAAGGTAAGATTTATGGAAAAAGACAGAAAAATTTTCCATCTGCTGGTTCATTCCCCAAAGGGCCAAAACGGCCAGAGCTGAGACCACCCAAAGCCAGGAGCCAGGGGTCTCCCATGTAGGTTGAAGGTCCCAAGGCTTTGGGCCATCCTCGACTGCTCTCCCAGGCCACAAGCAGGGAGCTGGATGGGAAGCAGAGCAGCCAGGATACAAATCACCCCCCCATATGGGATCCCAGAGCTTGCAAGATAGAAGCTTAGCCAACTGATCCATCATGCCAGGCGCTCAAAATTTTGTTTTGTTTTAAGATTGTTTTAAGCATTTCCACCATTTACTCTTGTTATCAAAAATAGTTCAACTCTTCTTGCAAAAAAAAAAAATAAATAAAAAAGTATATATCAGATACATACATCACGTTTCTTCCTGTGGCTTTAGCTCACCCCCATTCCACAAAGAAACCAAGGGGAAAAAAATTAAAGCCCAACAAACAAAAGACTTATTTTCATTGGAAAGTCAGATATACAAAGAGAAGAGACAGAGAGGAATATCTTCCATCCACGGATTCACTCCCTAAGTTGCCAGCAATGGCCATGGCTGAGCCAATCTGAAAGCAGGAGCTTCTTCCAGGTCTCCCAAGTGGGTGCAGAGTCCCAAGGTTTTGGGCCATCCTCCTCTGCTTTCCCAGGCCAAAAGCAGGGAGCTAGAAGGAAGTGGAACAGCCAGGACACGAACCGGTGCCCATATGGGATCCTGGCACATACAACGCAGGGACTTAGCCACTAGGTTATAGTACTGGGCCCTCAAAGCTTTAAAAAAATAATAAAGTAGGTGGAAACAGAGGCTGAACAAAACCTTTAAATTAAAACAACAGTCAATAATTCGGGTTTGAAGACAGGCATGGGAGCATGTCTTAAAAGACAGTAAGAACAACCTACCAGAAGACCACGGGCCAGGATTTGGAGTGTAGAACAAAAAGTGAAAATAATGGATCAGATCAATAAAAGACATCTGAAGGTAATGAGAACAACCTGGTGCAGTGAAGATGAGAACGAGCTGAGGACGCACGGCTTTCACAAAGCTATGCACGAGGATATATATTTCAGAGTAAGATTTAGGAATTAGGCGCCAGTGCTGTGCCACTATCTGCAGTACTGGCATCCCATGCTGATGCCAGTTTGTGTCCCAGATGCTCCACTTCCACACCAGTTCCCTGCTAATGCACCTGGGGAAAGCGTAACACAGCTAAAGTGCTTGGGCTCACCCACTTGGGAAATCCAGATGAAGCCCCTGGCTCCGGGTTTCAGCCTGCCCAGCCCGGGGCGTTGTGGCCAACCGGAGAGTGAACCAGCAAATGGAAGGTTCTCTAGGCCACTCCCTCTCTAACTCTGCCATTCAAATTAGGAGTAAATAAACAGCTCTCAGAGAAGATAACTGAGATACAGGTTTCCAAATACTTCTTACTTTAATGACAAGATTCAGCATGAGAGAATTCTAAACTCCTAAGAACGCATACAGGCATGTAAAGATTCTGTCAAAATATAAATCACTTTAAACAAATGAGTGAAGCACAAGAAAAAAGAGGTCATTTTTCAAATGCTGTTGTTTTGGTTTTTTTTTTTTTTTTGATGTATAATGTTCTGAACAAGGGAGCAATATTACATCTAGAGATGTGGACCAAAATGTGAGGCCGACCTGTAATGCATCCAACACCACCAGGTTCTATACATTCCCTCCCATTTCTCTGAGCTTACCAACTTTCAGGTGGAAGCTCGAACTCCCAATGTCAGAAGCTGACTCTCATTAGGTTCTCACAGGAGGAGAACATCAACCCAAAAACAAGCAGGGAAGGATCAGGCATACATTTCTCAAGGTCTGAACTTGCATTACAAGCTCGGAAAAGATGGAGAACTCACCTTCCAGAAATGCAAATTCATCTATAGCTTCTATGGCGTTATCTGAAACACAAAGCAAAGACAGCTGACACTCTGACCAGCTGGAAACACTTGGCCCCACAACAGCACAGTCCGCAAGACGAAGGGCTCTCCTAGCACTCCTACAACGTAGCCCTCGCTGGAGTTCAGTCCCCATCTCCTCCAGCAACACGTACATATTACCCCCGTGACAAAAACCTGGGCAACCACAGCTCAAAGGCAGGAAGGTGGTAGAATGAACGGCCCCCCACAACTATGGTTTACACCAACCGTGCCTTCTCTTGGCTCTGAAAGCCAGTTTAGCCATGCGTCAGGGAGTGAGCGAATGCAGTATACCAAAGCACACATACGTGCAGGGACTACCGCTACACTCCAAAGTCAGAAACCAAATTCCCACTGCAAAGTCAGAAACCAAATTTCCAGGTGCTAGGTGAAAAAAACCTTTTCCCGGTAGATGCTATGAAAGGGCGGGGCGGGAGGGGCGCAGAAACTTGTCCTACTTTGTGGAGATTCTAAATGTCAGACCAACAGAAAGCCTGGGTCCCCCATGGCACCCCAAAACCACCAGTGCAGGGGACAGCCAAGCCCTCCCTGGCCGGCCCTTGGACTCCCCAGCGACACTCTACCCAAATCTCTCCTCTGGAGGGTTTTCCTTTTTCCCTGTTGAGCACAGCAGTAGGCGTCTTTGGCGATGGTCTCCACAAACAGCTCCTGTAAAGCAACGCAGTGTCATCCCGGGTCGGGCACCGTATGGATGAACAGGGGTGGGAAGGGAGCTAGCTGTCAGGTGCCTGAGGTGATTCTGGAAGCTGAACCTGCCGTCAGGAAGCGGCTCCTTGCTTCCCCACTGCCGAACTTCCTCCCTAACTTGTAAACGCGTTCACCACAGACTCCCAGCAGGGACTGTGTTACACCCCACAAAGTTAGAGACACAGACGCCTCCAAGCGCTCGGCCCACCCCACAGACGCCCTCTTGCTCCTCTCTCAGCTGCGCAAGCCGCCGCCAAGCCCCGCCCCCGGCCACGAGCTCCGCCCCCGGCCCACGAGGCCCCGCCCTCTGCCCCTTCGCCTCGCGCTCCCGCCGCACCGTGGCTCGTGCCAGAATGAAGATGGCTTCCTGTCCCGCTAGCGTCACGTCGGGGTCCGCCTTCACTAAGGCTTTCACTCGCGCCAAAGGCAGTCTCGAGAGACGAGCCCCGGGTGCGCCTGTCGGGCCCTGGGGCTGTGGGGCCGCGGCCTCCCCGCCAGACCCCTCCTCCTCCCCGAGCGCCCCGCTTCCACCCGCCGCCGGCGCCGCCGCCATCCCGACCCCGAGCGTGCTGCGCGCGGCCGCCGAGTGTGCGCGCGCAGGCGGCACCGGCCCCTTTTCCCGCGCAGGCCGAGGCCACGCCCCCACGGAGCACGTCACCCCCGCCGCGGCCGGAACTCCCGGAAATGCCGGCGGCTGGGCGCTGCCCTGGGCCCGCGGGCTCTGATGGAGGCTGGGTTCAGGTGCGGCCTGTGGAACCCACCCATTGCTCCCAGCTGGAGCTGGCCGGACCACCCTGGCCAAGGCTTGCACGCTAGTTAAAATGCCGACTTCATCAGAACATTAGTTCTGAGAATTGGTTCTCAGGATTACACTTAGAAACTGTGAGGACTCCGAGGAGCTTTTATTTCTGTACCTAGTGGCGGTATCTACTGTGTGTCAGAGTTCAAACAAACTGAAAATATTAGCGGTCCGGGTTGTACAACTTAAGCCACCACCTGCGGTTGAGTCTTGGCCGGTCCGATTCCCATCCAGCTCCCTGTTCCTGTGTCTAGGAAAGCGCTGGGAAGGTGGCCCAAGTGCTTGGGCCCCTGTTACCCATGACAGACCGAAATGGGGGACCCCCATAGGGTTCCTGCCTTCTGGTTTCCCCAGTTACCCTCAATTAGAGGATGGAAAATTCCCCCCTCTTCCCCTTTTCTCTTCTTCTATGTAACTGCCTTTCAAATAAAATACGTTTTTAACATAAAAATAGATGTAACAGAAGGACTGCATTACACATCAACATGAGAAGCATCTTGAGGTCGAGTAACTATTCAAAACCAATGTAGTGAAAAAGGGCCCTACAACTGCTTAAGGGAGCACAGCTGGGCTGTGTCTGAAGCCGACCCCTGCCTGTGCGGTAACCTGAGGCTTGCTCGCTACTCCATGTCTTGAGGGAATGAGAACGGGAAAGAAAGCAACCTGTCTCTCCTTCTCTCTGTAAATCTGCCTTTCCAACAAAAATAAATCTTAAAAAAGAAAACAGTTGTGACCTCATGGACCCACAAAGACGAACCTCCAGGAAATCCTTCCCTTTCCATGTCGCGGGTCCCCACATGTGTCTGAGATCTGCTGGTTATAAACAGCTACTTTTTGCATGAGCAAGTTTCCCTTAAGTCTGAAGAGTTCATATTATTTGAGCACTTCCTGTTGTGCATGGTTTACAGTGCTTAACACTTACATGAACGACATTACATAATTTCCATAATACCCTTCCAGGTCGGTAATATTTTAGCCTGTTTTACAGCTGAGGAAATTAGTAACTTACCCAGAGAAGAATGTGGTGACGAAAGGATGAAGTTGAATAAGACGGCATCTTAAATCACTCGTGATTCCAGAATTATGCAGTAAACCCTGCACGACTGCACTGGCAGAGAGAGTCGCCACTAAAGCAAAGCTGAGTCTGGCCCTGGAGTTAAAATCTTGAGGAGAGGCCAGCACTATGGCTCTACTGGCTAATCCTGCAACTTCAGGTGCCAGCATCCCATATGGATGGTGGCTCAGCTATAGCAGGTGAAGATCTTTGTCTCTCCTTCTCTCTGCAGATCTGCCTTTCCAATAAAAATAATAAGCAAGCCTTTAAAAAGCCACCTTGCGAAGGAGTCTGAGCCTTTGCTGATGCACTGCTTGCCCCTGCTCTGGCTCTTAATTCCAGCACGAGGCAGCAGGTGGAGACCTCCACTGAGTGTACAGCTTTCAGCTGCTGCCCAGCCTGGCCTGGGCCTTTGGAGACACTGGAGAGTAAGGCAGGAGATGATTGCTCCTCCCCTTCCTCTGTCTGTCTCTCTCAGGGCATTATTTAGCAATCTTCAGAGGAAGCTAGGGACCACTGAAATCTCAGAGTTCCCATAGAACCTCAGTCCATTTTAAATTTGAGAGAAGGGGGAAACATAAAAGGCAAAAAAGAAATGTTTGCTTTTCATCAGGTCAGTATTTAATATAATGGTTGCAATGACTTTCCAATATTTTCATCCCAACTCTAACTGAAATGATAATCTGGGGCAGACACTGGGCCTGGTGGTGGGATCCCATGGAAATGCTCAGAGGCCGTGATGGAGTGTCTGGGTGGATATCCTACTCCACTCCCAGCTCTAGCTTCCTGCTAATGCTGCTGTTGAGGGGCAACAGTGATGACTCCATCATCCAAGGAGAAGACTGGATGAAGCTCCGGAATCCTGGCCTCAGGCTGGCCAGGCCCAGCTATTGCAGACATTCAGGGAGTGAACCAGCAGATGGAACTCTGCCTCCCAAGTCAATATATTTTTAAAAGTTTTCAAAGATACACAATGTATTTTTCCTGGCTCTCTTCAACTAGGCTCCTGCACTGGGTGAATGAGTTTGCATTTTCATACTTATTTTCTTGCACAGTACTACTCCTTTATCCCTGGCAGATTCATTCCAAATTCCCAGCAGATGCCTGAAACCACAGACCACCAAACACTGCATCAGTCAGACCATGCTTTCTTGTCTTCCACTCACAAATGTAATGCCACGACATCTTAACTGAGCACTTAGTGTGGTACAGTCACAACTTTCAGAATGAAGTTCTATGGCAAAATTAGCACAAAATTGCTTTTCTTATATTTACTTTCACCTTTTCACTTGAAGAAAGCACTTTATATAGCTCTTTAGCATATCTAAATTGCCCCTCCTCTTGCAATTCAAGGCCATTTTTAAGTAACAGAAATTACTTCACCACCAGCACCCTGATACCTAAACACAGCATTCTTGTAACTGACACAGCCAGTAAATGATGAGCAGGCAGGTAGCAATAACAGCACGGATACATTGGATGACCAAAGGATGACCTTATCTTGTGTAGGATGGAGTGAAGGGGTGCAAAATTTTACCATGCCTCCCAAAATGGCAGGCAAGTTAAACTCAAGTTAAACTCCTGAACCACCTAGACAGTGCATAATCCACAAGTGGGAGTGGCCTAGTAGGGAGATAGTAGCCAACTCCCTGTTGGGTTACCACTCCCACTGGAGAGCATGAAAACCAGGACACAGGCAGGGCTGGCTAGACAGAAAGGCACCTGCCAGTATGTGTGTGGGCTGGATAGTAGGGTTGGTTGGGTTGAACTAGGCATCAATGCCCATTGACATGTATGAGAGCTAAATGGGATGTGGGACGGAGTGAACAAGTCTGCGACACATACTGGCCAGCATGGAACCAGGGTAGGGAGCAAGCCTGGTGGGGGTTATGGAGTGTCACCCCAACTAGGCTGCAGCTCCCACTGGTCTGCGTGAGAACCGAGTATGAAGTGGACAGGATTAGGCTAGACTACAACACCCATCAGTTCACATGGAAGACAGGGCTGGAGACAGAACTGACCCAGCAATTGCGATGACCAGCTTGTGCATAAGCTGATTGGGGCAACAGACTGTGCCGGACCCTGTACTGGCAGGCACACTACAAGAATCAGGTCTGGGATCACCTCAGACGAAGTTTCTTTGGAGATCCCTCCAACTGAACTGCTGATCTCAGAGCCCCAACCATGAAGAGACTATGTCAGCCAGTGGATTCTGAATAGTTTCATCATGTGTACAATGGCGAGATTGGCAGCAATTCAGAACTGTTGAGCTATCAAAACTGCTTGAGCAGGACCCTCGGAGCGTGCCTCACATCGGGGACCTGGGATGGATGGGAGGCTGGTTGGGACTTCTCCCTTTGTTTCTCCCCTGACCCCAAATAGAGGGGGGGAAATAATATTAATGTGGAAACAATGGTATTACCCACTTTGCTGTAGCCCTTGACCCTTTGTTCCCTAATCAACTAAGTAAGGTTATATTTAAAAAAAAGAATTTTTGGATTTCCAGAATTTTCCATTTAACATTTCCAGACCATTGTTGACTACAAGTAATTGAAACCTCCAAAAGTTAAACAGTATGTAAGATGCACAGTGATACCGTAGTCTTTCAGCTATGGAGGCTGAACAAGGACTTGGTGAAACAGTTACCCTGCTGCTTGGAAATCCTGCATCCCATACTGGAGGCCTGGGTTCAGTCCCCTGGGAGGTGTGGCTTGAGTTCCAGGCTCCTGACTCTGCGTAGCTCTTCCCTGATGGTTATGGACATTTAGGGAGTGAATGAGCAGATGAAAGCTCTCACTTTGTGTGTGTGTGTGTGTGGTATGTGTGTGGCGTGTGTGGTGTGTGTGTGTGTGTGTGTGTGTGTGTGTGTGTGTGTATAACTCTGTTCCCTGCCTTTGTTTCTTTACCTTTAAATAAAAAAATAAGTGAATCTTTTAAAGAGGACTGGGACTGACCCTTTAGCAGCACTGGCCCTTTTCTACTTCACCAAGGAACCCCGTTACATTGACAGTCAAGCAAAAGCACTGGTTCTTCTTCAGATGGTACAACTTCACACAGCTCTTCCCCAAAAGACCAAGGAGACAGTTGGGGAAAACTCATCTTGTGCTGCTTGTTGCTGCTAGTTGTCACCTCAACTCCTTGAGGGCTTCCAGAGCCAGTCAAGGGGCTGTGGTCATCATCAGGATGTGGTTCATTTGGCCCTGAAGTTTTCTAACCTACCTCAGTATAAATGGCATGCCTATAATAAGGCAAAAGAACTTAAATAGGTGTTCAACATCCTTATTTTGGAAATTAAGCTTCATTTAAAAAACATAGTAGCCTAAATATTCTTAGGGAACCAGACTTAATAAATATATATATTTTTCTGGGAGTTGGTGTTGTGATATAGCAAGTTAAACCACTGCCTGAAATGCCCAGCATCTCATATGGGTACCAGTTCATGCCCCAGCTGCTCCACTTCCAGCCCAGCTCCCTGCTAATAACCTGGGGAAAGCAGCAGAAGATGGCACAAGTGGCTGGGCCCCTGAACACGCATGGGAGACCCAGAAGAAACTCTTGGATCCTAGATCCTAGCTCCTGGCAAGCTGACCCAGCCCCAGCCACTGCAATCATCTGGGAAGTGGATGGAAGATCTGTCTCAACCCTTTCAAGTAAATAAGTATTTTTAAAGTGCCTCTGAATATAAGTAGTGATGTGACAA